CTCCACCATAAGACAGTACTGTCCCTGACCGTGGAGTTAATTAGTATACTGCATGCTAATATTGGACCACGTGTAGATGGTGATGCTTTATTGCGGAGCTAATTAGTCTACTCCATAGTAAAGCACACGTGTAGATGCAACCACTGAGATCCCTGCAGGCACTTTTCCTTCCTCCCTTCTTCACTGGAGAGTTACGGTACCCTTACATAGGGCAGTTATGTCAACTTGGCCGCCACAACTGAGGACTGAGACCTTTGAGTCCATTTGTGGAGTGGGGTGTTAACTCTGTCCCTGACAAACACTGTGAATGGTGTATATACCGGCATACCCTGTCTTTGAGGAAACACTTTATAGATTGTGAACCTCCCAAGTGCAGGGGGATTGGACCTGATGATCTGTAAGGTCCCTTCCAGCCACTAACAACTATGAAACTATGAAACATACCTAACTGTAAAAGAATAAATAATTTTTGTCACAACAGGAGATACTGCCAGAACCACTCAGCTAATAGGAGGGGCCTTCTCCCATAGCCATATATGTGCCCAGCCAGAGCGTAGCCCTACTGCATATGCTCAGCCTACATACATACATTTATGCATCCACAGCATAAAGCCAGGGCTGAAGCCAACTAGGCAGAAGGCTAGAAAACTTCCATTTAAATGCATAAAGGAAAACAGATTTCAGCCCACAGTTACCATCCATTTTTTGCACACGTGCACTAATTTAAGTATTCAAAGTTAAAGCAGAGATGGGGAATCAGGAATAATGACACACAAGTCAATGTAGTTACATTTATGTAAATGAAATCACCCAGGTCCTTGGCTTTTCTTCAGTACTACCACACACTCAAAACCTGCATGATAGTATTCAGCTGCACAGCCTTCTCCCTCATGAGAAACAAGGATGGATTTATTGGATTTGTCAAAACTTTTTAAAAATAAAGTAGCTTCCAGTTAAAACTGCAGCAGGTCCCAATTCTGCTACAGTTTAGCTAGGGGAAATCTGTAAGTTGAGGAACTGACCCAACCTAGTTATAGTACTGTTTAAAGATCCATCAGTGCTAATTGTAATGAATCAGAATTAACCAGGGGACAAAGAACTTACCTTATGATGAGAAAACAGACCTTATGATGAGAGGCTGAGAGCCATGGGATTCTTCAACTTGGAAAAGCGTAGGCTCAGGGGTGATCTGGTGGCCGCCTATAAGTTTATCAGGGGTGCTCACCAGGATCTGGTGGAACGTCTGTTCACTAGAGCACCCCAAGGGATGACAAGGTCTAATGATCACAAACTCCTCTGTGACCGTTTTAGGCTGGACATAAGGAAGAACCTCTTTACTGTCCGAGCCCCCAAGGTCTGGAATAGACTGCCGCCGGAGGTGGTTCAAGCACCTACTTCAAACGCCTTCAAGAGACATTTGGATGCTTATCTTGCTGGGATCCTATGACCCCAGCTGACTTCCTGCCCCTGGGGCAGGGGGCTGGACTCGATGATCTTCCGGGGTCCCTTCCAACCCTAGTGTCTATGAAATCTATGAAACTATTATGAGAAAAACCCCCCAAAATGATAACACAAGTTAAAAATACTACAAAACTAACAAAATGATAACATGCAACATTTTCCCTATTAACATTTTAGATCTCAACCCATATATTTGTTTGTTGCTAATTAACTATTCCCACAGGTAGGTAGCAACCAATTGCCAAACATTTTTAAGTCCTAAAGATCTGTTCCCTCATGCTTTTCCTTCATTTTCCCCCTAAAAAATAGTGTATATACAGGTATGTTAAAAAAAAAAAACTATGAAGGAAAAAAATATATACTTTTTAATGACAAGAAAAAGAAAAGGATTGGAAAAATCAAGGTTCTTCTGTTAACCAGTTGATATCTGCATGTGCTACACACACAAACGCACACACACGCACATGCACACACTAAAATAGCTCCTCAAACGAGGGCCCCGAGGCTGCAACTTGCTCCACACAGACTCACTGGAGAAAGACAAAAGAAACACCTCACAAGAGCTTCATTTTAGGCCTTAATTGGAGCTAGTGGGCCAGCAGCATAGGGATGCAGCCAGGTACCCAGGACAGTGGTGACTTCCAGTTGCTGTCCCAATTGCAGTCATGATCACATGGGTACCGGCAGCAGACACTTTTTTCACTCTCCTCTCCCCCTCAAGCCAGCATCTGGGGAAGTGGCCCCATTTGCTCTACCCTAGTTGCACCACTTCCTGGAGGGAGCCAACTGGAGGATCTGGGCCTTATATCGCTACTGTTTAGTCCATAATGTTTGCTTTCTCAAATCCTTTAAGTCTCTGGGTTATATCCTTAGAGACTGTTTCTTTTTTCTTAAATAGTTCACTTACGGGTTCAAATATGGATTTAAGGTACCGTTAGATGCCTACATTTGAAAATGCTGATTCAGTGTCTGTTGCATAGTGTGTGCTATTAATCCCTCTCCACCTTTATCTCCAGGTCTCTGACCCTACCCCTCTTTCATTTATCTCCACTTTATTCTTACATAACTGTGCCTCTATTTTAGAGCTCTGATTTCTGAGATTAATTCACCAAAGCCATCTCTGGTGCAAGGGGCAGTTTTGTGTTTCTTCTCCTTAGCTCTGCCTACACAGCAGGCAGCTTTGATTCTGCAGACTGTGAGCTGTTCAGAATGAGGATCTTTCAAAGAGTTTCTTCTGCAGAAGTGGCTTTTCAAACTAATCCCCTTGCATGGGGTACACATGGCACAAACAGGGAACCTCCTTTTCAGAAGCTAAGCAGGTCAGGAACAGCAGAGTGTGCTATCTCCCCTTGGAGCTCTACTTTCAGGTAGCAATCTGGTCCACACATGTCATGAGACCTCCACTACAAATGCTTTTGCTTAAGACTGCCCCAGGCTTGCTCTCCCCCAGAGCTCACCTCCACCCCAATTCCTTCTGCCTCCAGGTTAGCAGCAATGCAGTCCAGAGATCCCATCTTCCCCATGAGTCCCAAAGAAGTCTATTACTTTGTGAAGCCATCACAAGTCTTGCAAAGGAAATAGCAGGATGACTCCTTGCAGCAGGCCAACCTGCTTTCAAGGAACTTCTGTTAAGCCAGAGTCCAATTCAGGGCCCTCAGATGCGTCACTTCCACAAACCTTCAAACAACCAGACCCTAGGGATGTAGCTTGCCTTCACCTCCACAGCTGTGACAGGCAGTTCTACGAACAGTTCCTAGTCTAGCCCAAACCCCGCTCAGAGGACTGGGGAGTTTCCATGCTGCTCAGGGCTGCTGTTTAACTGAGCTTGAGTTTCTCCCTTCTAAGGTTTTCCCTTCAGACCTGACAGGGAGGAAGCGTGGGAAAATGGGGCATTAGCCTTGCCTTAGCCCTCAGCGCTTCATTAAAACTTATGTGGCTGGCACAGAGCTTGTACCCTGCATCCCAACAACAGTTGTAAATGATCAGCTTCTGTGCATCAGAAAGAGACCGAGATGGAAACAAAACTGGGTATCTGCACCAAGGATTTCTTAAGACTGCAATCGAAGCAAAGTCAAATGGGTGTTAAAAATCAAAGAACTTAAAAAAAAGTAAGTGCACATGTGGTTTATAGAGTTCACCCCCCTGCCCTGCTCCTTGCAGGTCGCGACGATGGTGTGTGTGTGTGTGTGTGTGTGTGTGTGTGTGTGTGTGTGCGCACGGAGGGGGGGGGTGCGAGGCCGCTGGAGCTGGCCTTGCCCCCCCCACTTACTCCTTGCAGGTGATGGTGGCGGCAGCATGGGGGGAGTGAGGACAGGATGCTGTGGGAGGTGGAGGGGCGAGGCCACCAGCTCTGGCCTGCCCCTTCCCCCTTCTGTCATTGCTGCCTGCAAGACCCGACACGGCAGCAGTGGGAGGAATAGCAGGCGCACCATGATGGTGGCAGTGGGGGGAGGGGAGGAGCGGGCCTGGGCCGATGTGAGGGAGAAGCTGGGTCGCCATGGCAAGGGAAGCAGTGGGCCCAGGTCGACTTGGCGACGGTGTGGGGGACAGGAGGAGCGGGCTCTGAGCCAACACAGGGGAGGGGGGTGGGGGAAGAGTGGGACCAGGCCCCAGTGGGAGGAGGACTGAGCCCACGCTGGGGGAGAATTTGGCCCACCACGGTGGTGTGGGGGGAGCAGCCAACACAGCCTGATGCAGCAGCAGCTGGGGGAGGGGAGGAGCGGGGCTCCTTCCCACCTTGGGCCCCGTCCCACT